TTAATTAACTGCAATCAGAGTAATCAGGACCTCAATCAGGGCACTGTAGGGGAAAGAAATAAGTTATCAGAGGTTTAGTGAGAAAAGAGGAAAGAAACTTCCAGGGGCTGCCCAGGGGTCACTATATTCAGTGCAATGTCTTGTCCTTTTTACCTATACATATTTAAGTCTGAATAATGAAGACTGATACTCATAACGATGACCTTGACAGCTTATAAGCTTAATCAAAGCAAGAGCACATAGTGCTTATTAGACAGGATATCTGAAAGCAGGAACTATATAAGTACGTTTTTGGTTTGGTTTTACTTGATTTTTTTGGAGACGGGGTCTTGCTGTGTAATCCAGGCTGGCCTAAAACTCGCTGTGTAGCCCACGCTGGCCCCAACTCATGATCTTCCTATCTTAGCCTCTTGAGTGCTGGAGTGCAGGTGTGTGCCACCATGCCCAGCTACAAATACATTTTTGGAGCTTTCTTAACTAGAGTGAGACAGAATGTTTGCGGCTGAATTCTTGAACAGTAAGAAAGACCCATTAACCAGGCCTCATGTTTCCTAACCCCCAGGCTTTTAAGTCATTTTAGGTGTATTGCACAATGGGTAAAAGAAGAAATAAGGATTCTGATATCCACCTTGACCTTGATCAAATCCAAATCAATGGCTGTTTCCTCTTGGCGTTCCCCTTGGCTTCTGGGGATACAAAACCACTGTATAGGTCATCTCTTACTTTTCTGATCATTTTCTTTTAGGAGAATCCTCTTTATACATTCCCATTCCTTACTTGTGGATGTGTTCTATATTTAGTCTTTAGCTCTTTTCTCTCTGTACTATCTCTAACACCCAGTTTCATACCTCTAGCTCTTAAATTTATATCAGTTCTGAATTCACTCTAAGCCTACATTGCCATATTGCTAACTACTTTTTGGAGTTCTTATCTTGGCTATTTCACCATAAAATCAAAACAATCTTATTTTCCTTAAATGATAAAATGTTTTTACAAATCCAAGAGAAAGATAAACACCTTTTTTTTAAATGACAAAGACATGACCAGATAATTCACATGTACGTACATAATACACATATATGGCTGAACAATGAAAAAATGTTCATTCTCACTGATAAAATGCAAATTAAACAACCACATACCATTTTCAGCGATTCGCTTTATAGTGGCTAAAAAGCCAGTGTTTATGAGAATATAGGCATTCTCACAATATTAGTGGTAGAAACATGAATTTGCACTATTGTCTGTTGAATGATGTGTCAGTGTATACCAAAGTCTTTTATCTACCCTCTGATCCAGTAGGCTTCAGTTCTCAGAAATAATCAGAGATACATGCAAAGAAATGTGTAAGAGATATATGTCAGAAAAAGAATTTTGTTTGTTATATTGATAACTTGGAGACACACTGAATGTCCAGCAATAGAAGATGGGTTAGGAAAGTAGGGCAAATTTCTGTGCTGGAATACTACATGGCCATTAAAAATGATGTTTTATGAGCTCAGCCTAGGCAATTTAGGAACTTAGTGAGACTGTATCTCAAAGATACAAATTTTAAAAAGGATTGGGGGTGTAGTTCCATGCAAAGGCCCCGGGTTCGATACTGAGTGTCAGAAAAGAAAAGGTACAGACAGGCGGGAATTACATATAAATATTATGTGATTATCTCTGGAGAATGATATTATGAGTGATTTTTATTTTCTTCTTTATCATTTCTGTATGTTCTAAAATTTCTACAATGAACATTAATTACTTTTATAAAACATAAAACCTGATAAGCATAATGTTTTTAGTGACAGCTTATTAGTTTTGTTTTTTTTTTGTACCGGGGATTGAACTTGGGTCCTTGAGCTTGTGAGTCAGGTGGCAGAACCACTGAGCTAAATCCCTGGCTCCAATGACAGCTTATTTGAAAGCAGATTCCTTGACATCCCTACTAATGAAGCTTTCTTTCTTGGCCTCTTTCTATACATGGTTCCATCAATCCAGGCCCTGGCTTAGACCATGCAGTCTGATTGCTCTCTCACTTCCTCTGGCTAGTCACTAAGTCTCATCCCTCATTTAGGACATCTCTCAATTTTGTTCCTTTTTTTTTTCTTTTTCAGTGCTGAGGATCGAGCCCAGGGCCTCATGCATGCTAAGCACATGTAGTACCAGTGAGCTACACCCATAACCCCAGTCCCTTGCTTTTGAGTCCCAAATCAGGTCAATTTGCTTTAGCTAGAATATATCATCACAGTGTGGGTGTCCTTCTGCCAGTTCAGCAGTATTGAACCCGTCTCCTAATGTCTTCATGCTCCTAGTCTCTTGTTTCTCCAATCAGTCAAGCACTGTGCAGCCGGAGTGAGCTTTCAAAAGCACTATTTGTGCCCTATGTGCTAGTGCACACTGGTAATCTCAGTGCTCTGGAGGCTGGGCTAGGAGGATCGAAAGTTCAAGGCCTTCTGGGCTACTTAGTGAAACCTTGTCTCAAAACAACAACAACAACAGTAAAGTCCAGTGTTTGTACCATAGCCCTCCCTGCTCAAAACACTCAAATCCCCCAAGCTCCATTTCTTAGGTCAATGGTGGCAAACATATGATACATGTGCCACAGGGGGCATGCAGAGCGTTCTCTGTCAGCATGAGCCAAGTCTCCCCAGCAGCTGAGCATCAGACAACAGTTCGTTTTTTTTTCTAGATTAAAACCTCAGTATTCCATTTAATAGCAGTGTTGGCACTTTGCAATTAATAAGTGGGTTTGGGGCTGCAGTTTGGATACTCGGTTCACCACCGCTGGCCTAGGGAATAGGGCCCATACTCCTTTTGCTTTTCAGGGCTGATTACAGCACTGTGCTGGGTGAAAGATAATGTGGGCACATGGGAGGTGTTTGGTAAGGTGAAAGTGAAGTAAATCTTTAAGAACAAGGTGGGGGGCTCTCCTCAATGCCCTTCATCATCTTAGTTTGAGAATTCCTTTTCTCTCCTTTTGGCATTAGGCCAGAACCTTTGGAGCACTTGAAGTTTCATGGTGCTGAATTTGGAGACAGGAAGAGGCAGCCAGAGGTGATAAAATATGTTTCAGGAAATCCCAGCTCGGAGTCTGTCCCAGTTTCCAAGGCCTGCTATGTAGGAGGCTCCATGGGGAAAGCATATTGCCTCCAAGTCCCTTCTCCCCACAGGGCCTAGCAGAAGAACCAAAAGTGGGAAACTTACTGTTTGCTTTAATGAAAAAAAGAAGAAGAGGAGGAGGAGCAGGAGGAGCAGGAGGAGGAGGAGGAACAGAAGGAGGAGGAGGAGGAGAGGGAGGAGGAGGAGGAGGAGGAGAAGAAGAAGAAGAAGAAGAAGAGGAAGAGGAAGAGGAAGAGGAAGAGGAAGAGGAAGAAGAGGAAGAAGAAGAAGAGAAAAAAGGGAAGAGGACATGGAAGATGTGAATATAGAACAAAGCCCTGAGTGAAGTGGGTCTCTCATGAAACTCAGCTGTCTTCAGAACACGCCCACCTGACTGAACCATAGCATATGGTTGTCTGTCAGGATGCTCCCCTGGGAGTGTGTGGGGTGGGATGTGTGAGGTAATGAACTTGCCAGATGGCAGTCGCCAGCACCAGGTCTTGGGGGATCTGCTGACACCAATGGGAATGTGATCTTGAGCTGGGTGAAGGGGCTGTGTGGGAGCAGCTTCTAACGATGTTGGTGGTTGAGAGGCTTCTCCAGCATTGCGGCTCGTTCCTTCTGGTATGAAAGCGTGCCCACTGATCCAGCCAATGTCAGAGCTGCCCACTGGAGCAGCTTGGGATGCTGGTGCATGCCTCCTGGAGCTAACCGTGCCCTCCCTTTTGAATTGCTCTTCGCACCTTTCTTCTTGTGGAAAGCATGGTGCAGCCCCACCCAACAGAAATTCTGACTCTTTCCAGTCTTACCATTCTTATTGAGCTCAGTCATTTCCAGCTCCCCTTCTCTTTCTTCTCTCTTCCCCTCCCTTCTGCCTTGACCGTTGGTGATTGGCACATTTCTGGAGTGCATGTCCGCCCTTTTTGTCCTCCCCCATGGCTATTTGGAAGCCTGCCCTAGTTTGAGGCTCTCCCTGTTTTGTAAAACCATTGACTCTGAAAAGCTTTGGGTCTGGTAGGTGAAGCAAAGTCCCTGTACTTCCCAGGGCTAGGAGTGGCTTGGCTGACCCCTGTGGAGTCCAGGGAACCAGGGGAAGCTGGGAGCAGCTCTTTAGTCACAGGGAATCACAAGTATGCTGTGGCATGACGAGTCTCAGGATAGTATCACAGCTACTGTTGATTGAATGCTTGCTGCATGCTAGGAACTGGTAAGTGTATTAGGCACGTTATCCTATATGATCTGTGCACTAGCTACTAGTTCCTGTTTTTAGGGTGGGGAAACTTTGAAAAGTTAAGTAACTTGTAAGAGGTCACACAGCCACAAGTTGCACAGCTGGGCCTCGAACTAAGACATGTTGGATTTCAAAGCCCGTCCTCTTCACCTTTATGCTAATGGTCTTTATAAAGCCCCCAAATGTCCTAGAGAGAGGGTTAATTGCTTTTTAGGAATATTTCCTCAACACCTAAGCATGGATGAAGCTCATTACATAACATAGCACATTTGAGTCTTCCGGTCACATGGGAGGTCACGTAATCTTATATGACAGACATGGAAGGAAATGGAGTCTCAGAGAAGTTACCTAGCTCATAAGTGATCGAGTTGAAACTTAACCCAAGTCTGGGAATGTGGGGTATAAGCCATCTCCTCCCTTGACCCTAGCCTCCCATCCATGGTACACCTCCTCTGTAGTTTGCTGTCTGTAACTGCAGGGACATTCTCATTGAATTTAGATCAAGATGCTTGTGCCCAAGAACCCATGACTTCCAAGCTGACTGGACATTCTGCTTTGAAGCAGGGAATAATTGAGGGAAGAGATGACACACTGGGCCTGGGTGACGGAAGGGGTTGGATGGAGAATCGAGACCCAGATTGCTTTTAAGCACATTTTCATTTTCTCCCTCCCTCCATCTTAGGGTGAAGGTTGCCGAACTGTCCCCCTGGCTGGACATGTAGGGTTTGACAGCTTGCCTGACCAGCTGGTGAATAAGTCAGTCAGCCAGGGCTTCTGTTTCAACATCCTGTGTGTGGGTGAGTATTTCCATAGCAGGAAATTGTATTATGGAATATGGATCCTTGATGGCTGGATGTGATTTTGCAGGTAATTAAATAGTGTGTCGTTCTGATCAAGTTTCAAGAGTGCCCTCCTTTTGCAGTACAGTGGGGATTGAACCCAGGGCTTTCACATTGAGCCAGCACCCCAGTCACTTTTTAATTTTTCTTCTAAGATGGGGTCTCACTAAGGACATAAGTTTCCCAAGTTGCACTTGAACTTGTGATCCTTCTGCCTCAACCTCCCAGAATACTGAGATGACAGCATGCACCACCATACCTGGCTCTCCTCCCCCTTCTTCTTTTATCCTTCTGTGTATTTGTAATTTTTCCCTGGTCAGACTAGACTATGGGGCCATACACTGGGGGAAATGGAGCCGTGTGAGACCCTGTGGAAATCTTGTGGGGGGATTGACTGGCTCAGTCACTGCTGTCAGGTTCATTTTGACTGCAGAAGACAAGAGCCAGGACAGAAAAGGGAGAGAGATTATGGCTGAGGAAAGAAAGTTGCCTGTCCACCAGGGACAGGGGCTAGGTCTGTTGGTTCCCTCCAGACCTTCACTACACTTGGTTATCATTTGAGCTCAAGTATGGGAATCACATAGCTGTGTCTTTTATTCCTCTTTACCTACATCTCTGCCTAGACCTTTAATCTCCACTGTGGGAGCCACATCTTTGTACCCTCTGTTTGCTCATAATGGCACAAAAAGAGTTCAAGAATATTAATGGAATGAATGACAGAGTTAACCTCCACCCAGGAGCCACTCATTGTACTTTTCCAACGGTTTCTTACAGGAGCCTTTTGGTCCTTACTTTGCGAAGTGAGCACAGCAAGTAGTGTCCATGTCCTCACAGAATACATGGGAACCCAGAGGCTTAGAAAGACAAGGGATTTACCCAAAGCAATGCAGGAAAAGTAGCAGAGCCATAACGAGAGCTCTGACTGCAGAGGGAGGGACAAGGGTTCAGGTGAGTAGGGTCCTCGTTATGGCTCTGTATCTCTTGAGAACAGGAAAGCTTTTGGAAACTTTTGAACACCAGCCCAACATTCAGGACAGCAGTTCCTCAAGATTCTTTAAGCATCTTGCCTTCGACGTTAAAAATCCAAAATTTACAAACACAATCATAGCATATAATTTTCACCCCACAGTGTAGGAAAGCAGACCTACATATTTTCAGCGACCTCCTTCTGAACCGTAATTCTTGTATAAATACCATAATAAAGTCAGTTTTCACACTGGCTGGAGCACTCAAACACTTTTACTAATTGCTTTTTCTTATTTTTGTATAGCGTGTGAGGGAACTCACTCAAGTTGTGGGTCTGAGCCACCACTAAATTGGATATTTTACCCTTTAATGTATTCAAAAGCTCTGTTTTCTCACAAAGGTCATTTTCTTGAGTTCCTTATTTTCTCCTCTCTATCCTAAACCTCTTTTTTGGGTCACTTTCTATAAGAGAATCACTGCACACTAAGGAGCAGTGAAAAAAAACAAAGCCTCTTCTAAATATGGATGCCAGACACTCCGCTAGGCTCACTCACTAGGTAAATGACTCATTCCCCCCTATCAACCTTGGAACCTGAGATGAAAACATGTGCTTCACAGTATTACATACCAAGGGCTTTAGCGTCTCGGTGGAGACTCTTAAAGCTTTAAAAGCTAAAAGTCGAAAAGTCTCATGGTTATGTTTGGATGCATTAGGAGAGGAATATGAAATAGAGGTCCAAGTGCTCAACATCAAGAGCAATATGCTATCATATTCAAATTTAGTACTACCAAACCTCTATCTAACTAACAAGTTCTAATCTTTGGCTGATGGCCAGCTTATTTCACATAATATTTGATTACCAAACTGTTTTAGCACAGATATCTTGGATTCCCTTGGCATTCCTCCCGGAGTTCCATATGACCTGTGCTGAAATAGAGGAGATAAGAAGTGAAAGGACAGACCCACCCTACAAAACCTTTTGACCAATTGGGTGGCCTAGGAAAGCTTTCGGTGGGGGCAGGCTATGTGAGTCAGAATGGCTCTCTGAGGGCGGAAGTGTGAGGAAGTTTGACCTGTGGATCACAGGCTCCCCTGGGGCCCAGAGGAAGAAGCTGCCAAACTCAAGGCAAAGTGAGTGAGAGAAAAAGTAACCTCCTGCCCTCTACTTCCCACCCAGACACCGTACAGCTGCAATTGCTTTAGCACACACCTGCCACTGGGATAAATCGCAGTAGTGCCTGGGACAGTTCTTCCAGGAGAGAAGTACCCTCCCACAACCAAGGAGCCACAATAGCCACCCCAGTGGCTTGCCTCTTAGACTTGCTAGTGCAGCCACTGGATGTATCTATCAGCTGGCACTGGGCTCATTTTATTCAACTCATGCATCTTGCTGTGCTCATAACCCTGTCACTGCTCAGAGAACCTGTAATTTGGACCAAGGTCACAGGCAGCTGAGGGTGGCTCTGAGGCTGCAGTCTCAGCTTGGTTATGGTGCTGGATTCTATCACTGACTTGGCTGAGAATCCCTAGCTTGACTGCAGAAGGTGATCTTTTCTCTTGCAGGACTTTCAGGGACTATGTTTTCATGTGTATTGCCTAGGTATGACTGTCAGGTTTACTTTCTTAATGGCTGTTTTTATGTTGTTTTTTGTTTGGTTGGTTTTTTTTCAGTACTGGGGATCAAACGCAGGACCTTGAGCTTGCGACGCAGGCGTGGTACCACTGAGCTAAATCCCTGGCTCTCTTAATGGCTGTTTATAATGACTCTGTTTGGTTATAGGATATGTTCCCCCAAAACATTTTTTGTTTCCTGATAGGCATTTTCAGTGTAAAATGATAGTGTGCTAGCTTCAATTATTAACTGACACCTAGGTTATTTTTTTACATTACTGCTTATCTTGCTGAAACGTTGCTGATTATAGGCCCATGATCATCAGAGTAAGTATCCTACATACATGCGTGCGTATGTATGCACATGTGTGGATGTTGGGATTGAAAGAGAGACAGAGAATTTTATAAATCTAGAGTCTAATTTGTATGTAAAGGTCCCAGTGGATGATACCTATAATTGTAATTATTTTTAGCTAGGCACATAGACATCAGCATATGATGACTCCTTTCTATAAGAAATTCCCTCCAGTTGATAATTACTGAGTGGGATGAAGTTCCCCTCTCCCTAATCAGAAATCACACTCTAGTCCCTTTGCTTCGGAAATTTTGAGGACCTATGATTGTAGATAAAGTATAGGAGGCCTCAGAGGAGCCATAAGAGCCAGCAGTACGAATGTTCTGGGGCCTGTTGCTTTGATTTTCTGGGCAAGAGCCCCAAAGAGAATTATCCAAATGTGCCAGCGACAGCAACTGGCTGGGAGGAGCACAAAGGGTCATAATGATAATATTTATTTTGAAGCTGCTCAGGATTCCATGCTCAACTGGGCTCTGTTGAACTTGGAAAAAGACACCCAAGCAGGATTGAGGCTTACTGCGGGAGGAAAAAGGGCAGCAAGCATTCTGTTAAGGTCAGGGCCCAATTGTTCCACTCCTCTGTCTCTAGGAAGCGCAGCTAGCCACTCACCTGCCTAAGGCAGGTTGCCAGCTGTGGTCATTGTCTAATAAACCATCACAGAGGGACACTTCCCATGGTTTGTAGCATCCACTGATTCCTGTGGTGTCATTACCCCCACCATAGCTGATTTTAAGCTACCAACATGACATCATTGCACACAGGTTTGGGAAGAAATACAGGAAGCTATACGAGCTGGCTCCAGTCCACCACAGTCTGCCAGGCCTCTGCAAGAATCAGGAAGGAGAAAAGACAAGGTCACACAGCCAGGCAGGACCTTGTGCCTGTTCCTAGGTTCCCTTGGCCAACTGGAGTTCCTGGAGCATTTCCTTTTGGACACCTCCCTGTTGAACTCAGAAACATTTCTCTTGATTTATTCCAACATTCAGAGGTGGAAGAGTCTTTATCTCCATGAGAACAGGGATTGTGGCTGTCTTGTTCATTGCTGTACCCTCAGTTCCTATAACTGCCTGGCTCCTATTAGAAGCTTTGTAAATACTTGTTGAGTGACTAAATACACAAACGTGTCATGCCTGTGGGCCTTGCTATTGCATATTGGTTAAAAACATGAGCTCCAAGATGGGTATGGTGATCCATACCTATAATCCCAGCGGCTTGGAAGGCAGAAGCAGGAGGATTGCAAGTTTGAGGGCAGCCTAGACAATTTAGCAAGATCCTGTTTCAAAACAACAAGTGAAAAAGAAAACATAAGGCATTGGGGCATAAGATCAGTGGTAGGGCACCCTTGAGTTAGTTCTTTCTCCCCAAAAACACACACACACACACACACACACACACACACACACACACACACACACAAAACCATGAGTTCCAGCGTCAGCCTACCTAGATACAAATGCTGGATATGCAACTTACTAGTTTGTGACCTTGGACTGTTACTTCCTCCACATTGTATAGATGAGGACAGTATAGTGCAAAGAGGAAGAAGAACTCTATAAATTTGTACAGCTAGTATGTGGCCTTGGGCCCATCTCTAGTTTGTGGACAAACTGTAGTATCTAGGGGCTGGGAGTATTGAGCACTTGCTTAGCATGTGTGAAACCTTCGGTTCCATTCCCTGTGCTAGAAAAAAAAAACAAAAAAACAAAACAGATCTATCATTGGCTTGTTGTAAGGAATAAATAAAATATATGGGGACTATGGTATAATTCCATAGTAGAGTGCTTACCTTGCATGTGTGAGGTCCTGGGTTCTATCTCCAGCTCCACAAAAAGAAAATATATGTTTTTCTTTATAGTAATACCTGGTATAAACTCATGATAAACAATAGCTATTGTTATCACTCCCACCTTCTCCTTTTACAGGAAAATAAACTGAGACCCAGAGAGGAGAAAGGGCTCAGCTCTGGTCACGCAGTAATTTAGTAATAACCTGGCTTGGACTCTTCATTTCATAATTTGAAAAGACACATTGCAGAAGGTGCTAGAGGATGCAGGTATTAACAGTAAATGAGGAAAAGTGCTAAATTTTTCTTTCAGTGATGTTTTTAAAGCCAGGTTGAGGAGGTCAACATCAGAGTTTGAAAAGGCATATTTTTAAACACTATTGTTTCTAGAATACTATCCATATAAAACAAAGTGAGATGAAATACTCTTGGATCATGCAGTATGCTTTAAAAAGGTGTAAGAAGCTGGGTGTGGTGGCACACATCTGTAATCCAGCACTCAGGAGGCTTAGGCAGAAGGCCAACTTGGGCTACATAGTGAGGGCCTATCTCAAAAAAAAAGTTCATAAATGAATAAAAAGCCTGCTGCCCACTATGAGATACTCTGGGAGGGGGTGCTAGGGAGAAGAGGAGGGAAATAGACCCCTGGGGACCTCTTAGGTTTCCTGCTGGAATCTAATTGCCAAATCTCCACCTTCCTGCAGGGGCGTGGGATCTGCTGACCTGACCCTTTAGGCCCTGTGTGCCTGGCCCAGGGTAGCCATGGGAGGGGACAAGGTCCTAGGTCTAGGCTGGGTGTGGGCCAGCTATTGAGAGAGAGCCTCCCCTTGTCCCCAGGCTCCACCCTGATGATAACCTGGGTTGGGAAGCCTCAGTAGCCTTGATTTTTTGCCTTCTTCTAATACTGCATGTGTTGTGATTCCCTAGACACTCACTAGTTCTTTTCTTCCAGACCTTCATGATTTGCCATCTAATTCCCCCAGTCCTTCTGTGCTGACAAGCATTTGGGTGGTCATTTTCCCCACTGGCCTGCCCTGCTGCCCGCCCTGCCCTGCCCAGCCCCCATTTCTCCAGCTGTGCAAACAGGGTGGGGCCCTTGTTCTGCAGTGTGCTCCTGAGGCTTTCTGTACAGAGCTGGTGCTGGGCTCTGTGGAGTACAAGATGATTCTTAGGCCAAGGAGCCAGACAGAGCCACCCCTCTCCAGAGCTGCAGGGCACTGAGAAAGAAGCTTAGGGAAGAGAGGTAGGGTGGGGACTCTGTGGGAAATCCATTAGGCACATACAGAGAAGGAATTTAAACCTCAGTGTCTTTATTATTCCGGCTCTGAGGAGCTGGCCCATTTGCAGTTGAGTTGTACTTTTTTTTTTTTTTGAGAATCTTTGCTGCTAATAGGTATAGCAGACTCTGCCTGGAAATATGATCTGAGGAATCATTTCTGCATACCCTGGTAATCTGCCAGTGTTAGACCTATGGCTATGAAATAGGGCTAATAGGACTGGGAGATCCGTAGCCAGGTGGAATTGAATGTTTTTGTTCTTTCTACGTCTGTTGCTATCTCTGGGTGTCTCTGTTTCTTCCTTCTCCACACATAGAAAGCCCTCATCATAGTTTTAAAAGCACCTCTTGCGTTCATAGCTCATTATTCAGGATAAAAGAGGCTCTGAAGATGTAAAGCCAGACACACCCAGACAGTGGAGGGGAGGTCCAGCAATTTTGGTTTCCAGTCATGCAGCTCTAACCCAAGCCCTGGACCACCTTGCAAGTAGGTACTGTTGGTTCCAAGGGGAGATTTACCAAATAGAATTTGTCCAGTGCAAGTCTATCCCCAACTGGGAACAGAAGTAAAAGCTCACTTCCCCAGGATTGGAGAAATAGGTGGGTAAAAGAAGGATAATGCTATCAAAATAATAGGGTAGCCTTATGAATTCAAAAGGCAGTTGTGGTGGCCCAGCCATCACAACACGAACGTACCTGAGTTGGGGAGTGAGGACTGAGAAAGGAAAGAACACTCACACCTGAGTGGAGACAAAGAGAAGTCTAGTTTAGTTCTACAGAAACAGCTTTTCTTAAAGGTACATTAACAGGAAGCATCACACGATCATCTCCATCATTTCTTATGCAAAAACAGAAATTCCTGATTTCTACAGATACCAAACCTTTGGCTAGCTCTTTGAGTTCCTCCCGCCTCAGGGTAACAGATAAGCTTAACAAACAGAGTCCTTGAAAGGTAGCAAATGTTATATAGCCTTTATCAATGCCTTCATTGTAAAGGAAGAAGTTTCCTTTCAAGTGTCAAATGCCAGAGGGCCACGATGGGCTCCCACAGGCAGTCCAGGATCATTAACTAATGACTTTTATTCCTGGTATTCCTGAATCACTTTTGGCACCTGGGGAGGCCAAATACAGTCTATTCAGGGAGATTTTAAGTGGTTATAGTGCCTAGCCCAGCTTGTGGCTTCATCTCAGATTCCTGCCTAACTGCCATGTCACTAACCTCCCTCTAATCCATGAATTCTTGTGGTGTTTCAGTCCCTAAAGACTCCTTAGCTCTAGGCAGTGGCTTGATAGTCCCTTTTCTCCTAGGAACAGCATCCCCAAAACGTCACAGGTCTGCCACAGCCCTCCCCCATTCACCTCCCTAGCGTGAAATTCAAGACTTCTGAAATTCCAACAGTTTAATTTATTACTATCCTGCAGCCTGTTAGTTAAACAAACAAATGGCTGGTTTGTGTGAAATTTAGGGAGAATAATAATCTGTGGCCTTTAAAATTGCCTCCCCATTACTAAAAAATAGTCTCACTGAAAGTTAAGTCAAAACCGGAGGAGAAGCTTAAGGCCCATCCAATCTCCCTCCTGGGAGACACATCTAGGACAGCTAGTCACATGGTTGACCCACTGGGAGATGCCTCTAGGATGCCTTTTGAGTGCTGTTTGGGCCTGGCGGGGAGGAGGGCATTGGGGTGGGAGGATATTTGTTTGATAAGGCATTTGTGTCTCTTTCTAAAAATTTTAAATAGCCCTTTACATTTTATTACAAAAACTATCATCTTTTTTTTTTATAAAGCCACACAGGTTATACATACTTAGAAGACTTGGCAATATAGAAATGAATTGAAAACCACATATAGTCCCACTAATCAGGGATGACCATTGTTAAGAATGTTTTATGTCCTTCTAGTCTTTTTATAGGCATAATTATACCTCTCCATCATTGCCTGTAACATAATTTCCTTTTCTGACTATAAAAGCAATACATACTCAAGGTGAGATTTTCAAATAACAGGAAAAATTTGAAAAATCAAATGAAAATTATTCCAGTTCCGCTTTTGTGAGATATCTGCAGATGTTTTTGTGTTCCCTTTTGATCTCTTCCATTTAAGTGAGATCACATCATCTGTGTACTTCTCTATGCTTTTCACTTAGTGTTTTATTATGTACATTTCCCCATGTTAGTAAGTACACATCTGAAGCATGACATGTGGTGGCTGCACAGTCACTGTGTAAATGGACCCTAATTTTTCCTTTTGCTTTTCAGGAGAGACAGGTTTGGGCAAGTCCACCCTCATGGACACCCTGTTCAACACCAAGTTCGAGGGGGAGCCGGCCACCCACACACAACCAGGTGTCCAGCTCCGGTCTAATACCTATGACCTCCAGGAGAGCAACGTGAGGCTGAAGCTCACGATTGTTAGCACGGTGGGCTTTGGGAACCAGATGAACAAGGAAGACAGGTAAAGAAAACAGTGGAGTGGGAAGGCTGGAAGACCAGAGGGAGGAGCTTTCTGTGGGGTCTCAGAGAAAGCACAGATGCTGGGCCCAGAGTGTCTCCTCAGAATGGCACGAGCAGGCATAGGTCCCTCACAGGCACCATCCCTGTCCAGGTTCCCTGTTTATAGCAACTGTCCCACTTCATCAGCTTTGTTAAAAGAGGGGTTTCTTTCCAGTATGCATGGGTGGGGTCTTGATTCCATTCAGCAAACACTTCTGGAGCTTCTGTCTTGTGCCAGGAGCTGCCCGGCTTTGACAATCTAGTCTCTGTCATTGGTTTTTAAGGACCGGTTTTTAAGCAAATAATTTCCATAGAGGGTGAGTGGTATGTTCTGGGAGTAACAGAATATGGGGAGGTAAAGGACAGTTACAATGAGACCACAATTCCATGTGAGAAGGTCAGAGAAGCCTTCACAAAGCACATGCTCTCTGAGCTGACTCTTAAAGGACAACTACTTTCTCCACAGATAGATGAGGGACAGGAGAGCAGGGCATTCTAGGCAGAGGTGACTGCTCATACAAAGGCAAAGTGATGTGGTGGAATCTGGCCTGTTCTAAGGAACTGCAGGTTGCTTGTCTTTTGCTATTCAGAAGCAGTTACTGGGAAGTTAGTGAAACTTAAGGTTCAGGGCTGCCACCTGCATAGTCCTCCTTCCAAGGCCCTGTAACTAATTTTTAGTCATAAGTTTATATTACTATTCTTGGAGGACCCTTTGGATCTGCCTCTTTGCCAGTGATTAGAATGAGCTAGGGAAAAAGTCAGGGGACATGAGCTTGAAGAAGTAAGTGGGAGCCAGATCTTGGAGTGATTTATAGAGTATGCAGATATGAAGCCATTGAAAGGTTTTAAGAAAGACATGGTGTGGTCTGGTTGCCCTTTGAATAAAGTCCTTCAGTGTAGCATGTAAATACACTAGAAAAGCAAGAAGTCCAATGAGGAGACCATTAGACCATTTAGATTGAGGCAAGGGATAAAGTAGCTGCTGAGATAGGAAGGGGAAAGAGATTTGGTAACTATTGAGTAGGTAAAATCAACAGCTCTTAATGATGTGCAGTTGTGAAGACAAAAGAATAATCTAGAATGAGGCTTGAATTTCTGACTTTGGAGAGTGGACGAATGGTAGTGACCTCCCATAAGAGAACCTCATTTTAAGATTATAGTCTCTGTTTTGTACCTGTTGTAGTTGAGCTGTCTGTGGAATATTAGGAGCCACGATGGCCTTCAGTGGTAGGCAGCTAAGCAGACAGACTAGAGGTCTGAAGAGAGTCTAGGTGAGAAAGACAGCTTTGGGTTATCAAGGTACAAATATGTTCCAACAGTGGACACAGGTAAGGTTGTCTAGGAATCAGCATAGAGTGAGAAAGACACTGGACTGAAGATAAAAACCTTCGTATGTGAAGTCAGTGGATGGAGGCTAATAGCCTGAAAGGGACTGAGCAGGAGTTAGCAGAAAAGTAGGCAAGATGGGGGAGACTGACAGTTTGAGGGCATGTGAGGGCAGGGTGGAGTGAAGCTAAGAGATGAGGATGTGGTGAGGGGGGTACTGGTCAGGCACTGGCTACATTTAACTCGAAGTCATGTGGGTACACACGTCCCTCTCAGAGAGTACCATTCATCATTTTGAGCAGGGTCTGCTCCTCTCTTGAGAAGTCTCTTGCTTCTTAGATGAACTGTGTCTCTGATTCTATTTCTCCCTTAAAGCTACAACAGCCATACTCCCGTCTTTACAATGAATAAATACATGTAGCTTCTTAATAATGAACTGAATTGTTTTCCACTTGAAATTTTAGAAGAAAGACACCTCTGTTTTTATATGGCTTGTTTATTGTGTTAATCTTATTTGGTTGAGAATAAATTAGGCCCCATGGAAAGGGCTAGTTGGGGCGCAGTCTCAGTGCTTAATCTCAGCTGCATATTTTTTAGGAACTCCTCAATTAAATTTGGCACAGTTCTTTCAGTCACATATATTCAACACATCTAACAATGGGCAACGCCTCAATAATTATGGCTTAGGAGGACTGAATAGATACTGCCCCTAGAGGCTAATCTATTTCCATTACATTTTTCAAATTTCCTTATTTTTTCCTGATTGTAAATGTTGATACTCACTCATAAAATATAAAATAATAACAAGCTCAAAAGTGAGAATTAGAAGCTTCCCTGAAATTATGCTGGGCAGCAGGGATGATATAAGTGGCAGGGATGTGTAATAGAAAGCAGTGGTTTATACATGCGATCAAGCCACAGACAGCAATGCAGCTGCACTGAGACAGGGCATCAGAATGCCCTGCTATATCCAGGGCATGTGCTGAAACGGGGGCGAGCAGCAACTCAGACTGGACCTTGTGGAAAGCTATCCCTTAAAGAATGTTGGGAAAAGGGGCTGGGGATCTAGCTCAGTGGCACTGTGCCTGCCTTGCAAGTGCAAGGTCTTGAGTTCGATTCCCGATACTGCAAAAAAAAAAAAAGAGGCTATAAAAAGTGGGACCCAAAGAGGAGATTGTGAAAACAGTCCGGAGAAGGAAGTGCCTAGGAATTTAGGCTTTGGTTTCAGACAGACCTAGGTTCAAATCTTAACTTGTTATTTATTAGCCCAGGGGCCTTTGGGAGGATACCTAAACATTCTGTGCTTCAGTTTTCAAATTACCTGGAAAGTGAGGACAGTTATGATAATTATCCTTACTGTGGAGGGCCTTGGTGAAGTATGCTTGATATACATGGCATATGAAATGCTTAAACAATGCCTTGCTCGCACAGAGTAGGTATTTAAATGACAGAAGGTATTTTGGTGGTCATAGTTTTTATTGGTAGAAGAGTCAAGACAGAGTTGTATCATCTAGTATATGGGAAGAAGTGATAAATGGTGTCCAGGAAAATAAGAACCTAAAACTATCCTTTGGGTTTGGTAGCAGAAGTAATTCATGGATTTAGGAATAATAATTCCAGGGGAATTGTGGGTAGAGTCTGAAAGGGGGTTTGTGTGCCCTTTTGGGTGCCCCTTCCCAATTAGGCCAATCATGCACTGAGAGGTCCGGCAGGAGATCTTTATTGTACGGAGGTGAGCAGGAGGCAGGAAGGCAGAGAGAGAGAGAGAGGAGAGGGAGGGGGAAGAAGCAGAAGGAGAGAGAAAACAAAGAAAGGAAGGTCCTTTTATCAGTTTTGGGGTGGGCTATTGCTTATTTATGAGGCGTGAGCTACTTTTAACCTATCACAGGCCAGATTGCTTTTATGGGCCCAGTCCTGCAGACACAGGTTTCAACTTCCTGGACCACTGTGGCCGTGGGGGGGGAGGGAAACCAGAGATAAGGGCATGAGGTCATTTTAGGAGCCAAGATGCACCAGGAGAGTGCAGCCTGTGAGGCGGCGTCACAGCATACTTTAACATGATCAATTCCCTATCAGAGTCTAGATTGCCACAACTGCTGAGTGAATGAAAACCAAGGATGCAAAGGCATCAGTCTCAAAAAGAGCACTAAAACAGAAAAATGAGTCTATCAGATTTACGTTTACATAGAAATTGAGTATGTGCAAGTCAGCAGGGAAGGAATGAACTATTTAAGAAATGATGCTGGGAAAATAGGCCATCCTTTGGGAAAAAAGTAAAATGAGACCCTCTCACACAAATCCTACTCCCAAAAATAGATTCCTGTTGGACTAAAACAAATTCTAAAAATATAAGAAGGAAATGTTGGAGAATATTTTTATAACTTTGGGGGGTAGAGAAGGCTTTTCTTTTTTGTTGTTGTTGTTTTTTGAGACAGGATCTCACTATGTAGTTGAGACTGATCTGGAACTCACTATGTAGCCCAGGCTGGTCTCGAACTCATAGCGATCCTCCTGCCTCAGCCTCCCGAGTGCTGGGATTACAGGCATGTGCCACCACGCCCAGCTAGAGAAGGCTTTTCTAATCATGAGCCAAAATTGAAGTTATAGAAGAAAAGGATGACATATTTAAATTTGCTAAAATAAAAAGATACTCATATTGAAAGATGCCATAAACAAAGTAAACATAAGCTACTGATGGGGGCAAAAATATTTGCACCCTATATAAGAGACAAAAGCTTTTTCTAAAATGTATAAAGAGCTTCTGTAATTCAGTGAGAACTAAACAGATAATTAACAAAAGGGAAATGCAAATGACCAATCAGCATATGAAACGATGCTCATTCAATTCCTCAGTGTTAAGGGAAATGCAGACTGAGACAGTGACATATATTTTATCCATCAGATTTGCAAGACTAAAAGATGGCATAATATCCACTAACACGAGGCAATTTCATTCATGTCGTTGGGAGTATAAATTGATACAGAGTGTTTCAGGAGGGCAAATTTGGCAGCGTCTCTTAAAATTTTAAATGTGAATGATTCATGACCCAGCAGTTCCATTTTTAAATATACAGCCTAGAGAAACAATTGCACATGTTCATGAGAAGCATACAAAATGGATGTTTATTGCAAAATTGGTTGTTGAATAAAAAAACTTAATTTCCGTCAATTAACAATGAAATGAATTGTGATACAACCATACCGTGGAGTTCTACTTGGCAGATTAAATGAATGAGGTAGATTCATATGTTCTCATCTGGATAGAGCTCCAAATTGTGTTATTACATGAAAAAAAGAAGTTGCAGAATGACACAGATCACGATGCCATTTGTGTAAATCTGTCCCCTTCCTCCAGTAAAACAATAAACACTTCTCTTTATTTCTGTATGTAAATACTTATAAAAGGTGGGGAATGATAATCAACAGACTGAAAACAGTGATTACCTCTGAGGCAGGGAGAATATGTACATGTATAGCTAACATAATTAAAAGTAGATTAAAAAGAGTGACGTTTTAGAAAAGGAAGCTGATAAAGTTGGGTGTAGACTGCTGGTTTACAACACTTGTCTGAGCTGGGAAGAAGATATAAGGTAATGTAGAGAGGGAGACAAGAAGGCTGGGGCAATTCTTAAGGAT